CCAGCTTGTTCCTCTCGGCCAGGTAAGCCTTGGGCTGCGGGTGCAGGGGAGAGCTGAGGAAATAAGAAGCCACCGGGTGGATGTTGACACTGGAGGACGGGTGACAAGGGCTGTCGCCTCGGTTGAAATAGCACAGGGCTCCCATGGCGTGGAAGGAGGAGTGATTGACCACTCGGGGTCTTACCAGTTTGTACTGCTGCAAGGGCAGGGCATCGCGGGGGAAATCTCCTTTCAAGCTCAGGGCACAGTTCAAGAGATCGCCGCAGCTAAAGGAGGGCGAGGAAGAGGAGTCTAAATGAGCCTTCCTGGGTTCCGCTCCGGCCACCGCCGCTTTGGGCAGGGGGTCGTACGCCACCGGGACAAAAGGGATCATGCAGGGGATGGAGGAGTTGAGGTGCAGCGGGTGTTTGGGGTCGCCTTTGGCCACGGAGCCGTGGAGGAGCTGCGGGACGGGGATGGAGCGGGGCTCTGGCGTCCGCGCCATGATGCGCTCAATGGAGAAGGCGAGGGGCTTGGGCGTGCTGATCATGTTGCTCCTGGCAGACAGGCTTTCTCTGGCCGGATTTTTTTTTTTTTTTTTTTTTTTTTTTTTTTTTTTTTTTTTTTTTTTTTTTTTTTTTTTTTTTTTTTTTTTTTTTTTTACCCCTCTTTTTTTTTTTTTTTTTTTTTTTTTTTTCTTTCTCTCTCCTCTCCCCTTCTCTCTCTCTCTTTCACTCTCTCTGCCCTTTTCTTGTCACTGATCTGCAAGGAGGGAGACCAGCATCGCCGCCGCCACCATCACCACAGCCTCCGCCGGCGGAACCAGCCTTCTCAGTCCAGTGGACTCATGCCAGCCCATCACAGATTACTTTGGCGCACCAATGACTCGGGACAATCGCTACTTATTTCTATCAATAGAAAGTGTTGTGTCAATAACGCAGCCGAGATCTCGCCAATCGTTAACTTCCAAGAGGAGAAGGTAAACTAGATAATTGCTCAATTCGCTTCCAACAGTCAACAGGAAAAGTTTTTCCCCCCCCAGTAAGCGGCTACTTTTCATTGGCGCCCGCGCGTCCCCCGCCCAGGGAAGGGGGCGGCTCTCCCTCCCTCTTGCCTCTCTCCCCTCTGCTTCCCTCCCTCTCTCCCTCCCTCTCTCTCTCTTTATTATTATTATTATTTGCAATCTGCTTAACCAGGCTTTAGAGGCCAAGCAAATCCAAGATCAATTTTCTTGTTTGGCTTTAAGTGACATCATCTAAAATCATTGTCCAAGTGCTAAATAGGGATGTGAAACCCAATTCAAGGGCAAGCACCAGGGTATTTGTCAAACGAGGTGCTGCTGAAGAAGCGGCTGGAGGGGAAGCTGTTTGTTTCCTTGCCACTTTCCAGCCCGAGCTCTCTTTGTGCGTGGGTGTGTGTCTGAGGGAGAGAGGGAGATGGCTGCTCTGCTCCTGGGACTGCTCCTGGTCTGCTCACTGCTTTAAAGAACAAGGTCAGGTGGCGGTGAGCTTTTGGAAAACACAGTAAACAAATGAGCGGGGAACTTGCAAGAAGCAGACGGCGGGAGCAACGCGTGGGGATGCAGGAACCACCCGGGCCAAATCCAACGAGTGCTTGTGAGCAAAAGGATGAATCAAAACCTGGGGCTGGGGAAGAGAAGGAAAAGGAGGTAGGAAGAGGGGGATGCCTTTTACATCCAAAGCACTGTTTAGAGAGAGAGATATATATGAAGTAACTTGCATATAGGATAGGTTTAGCGTCTCTGTCCTTAAATAACACATGCACAACATAAAAACTGAAAACTCAGGATGGGTATAGATACACAGTGAAACATATAGCACACACACCGCTTATAGGTATATATGCACCCAAACAGATGCGCTCCCCATGTATTTAACCGAAGTTTGGCGGCTCTGTTCCAGACGGATAGCTCCAACACCCCGGGCGTTTATACTTACAGCGAAGCGGGTGGCCGGGGAGAGGAAAGGGACAGCGGTGGCTGAGAGGCTTTCTGTATTCACCCCCTGCCCCACCACCCGGCAGTTCGGGGTCAGAACAAGCTCCCGTTCCTCCCGTCGGCCTGGGGTTCACTTGGCCAGTGACTGAGAGGCAGTTACTCAAATCCCCGGGAGCAGCCAAGGGTCC